CGTCTTATGGACAGATGAGACCAAGATAGAGCTTTTTGGTAAAGCACATCGTTCTACTGTTTACCGAAAATGTAATGAAGCCTTCAAAGAAAAGAACACAGTACCTACAGTCAAATATGGTGGAGGTTCAAAGATGTTTTGGGGTTGTTTTGCTGCCTCTGGCACTGGGTGCCTTGACTGTGTGCAAGGCATCATGAAATCTGAGGATTACCAAAGGATTTTGGGTCGCAATGTAGGGCCCAGTGTCAGAAAGCTGGGTTTGCGTCTGAGATCATGGGTCTTCCAGCAGGACAATGACCCCAAACATACTTCAAAAAGCACCCAGAAATGGATGGCAACAAAGCGCTGGAGAGTTCTGAAGTGGCCAGCAATGAGTCCAGATCTTAATCCCATTGAACACCTGTGGAGAGATCTTAAAATTGCTGTTGGGAAAAGGCACCCATCCAATATGAGAGACCTGGAGCAGTTTGCAAAAGAAGAGTGGTCCAAAATTCCGGGTGAGAGGTGTAAGAAGCTTATTGATGGTTATAGGAAGCGACTGATTTCAGTTATTTTTTCCAAAGGGTGTGCAACTAAATATTAAGTTAAGGGTGCCAATCATTTTGTCCGGCCCATTTTTTGAGTTTTGTGTGAAATTATGTCAAATTTGCTTTTTTCCTGTTTTTTTTGTGTTATTCCAATACACACAAAGGAAATAAACATGTGCATAGCAAAACATGTGTAATTTCAATACTTTTCTGTGAGAAATACTTCATTTTCTGGAAAAATTTCAGGGGTGCCAACAATTTTGGCCATGACTGTATATAATGTATCTGTCTGTGTCTGAAACTAAATAGCACTAATTGAACTCAACTTCAGTGATGTTCATGGACATGCTATCGCATTGGGGAGCGGCTGTAAGCCCTCTTCGGTCTGCTTGGGTTCTCGAGAGCTACATCATGCTGGGGAAAAGTTGTAAAAAACAACGTCCATAGCTTCAATTACTTGTTATGCTACGGTCATGCCATTTTATTTTGTCCATAGTAATTAGAGAAACTATTTAGTCTGCAGACCAAAACTGTATTGTCACTTCTCCTTGAGGTTTTGGTAGCTTTGCTATTCCATGCATTTAGGTCAGAGCATTGGGTCAGAGCAATGACTGGATATGAATGGGTCAGAGGGAGTTTACAGCGATAGGGCGGAACTGGCGTTCCAGGAACAGACTGAATTGAAAGAGGACGGGAGAGAATCCCAACCCCAACATAAACACAGTGAAATATTGAACATATTCCTACTCTCATTTATAGAAAAGGCCTCTCCAATCTTCCGACGATTTCAAGGGTGCGGTCGCTTTCAGTTTGGTTGTTTTCGTGGTGTTCCCTGAGCTTCCCTCACATTTTCCCCCGCCGTATTATTTGTCACGGAGGGAGGCGGTGGTAAAGCACGGCCGCCATCTTTGGGATCTGCCTGTAGTACGGGATTCGACAATCTGGGCCCCCGTTAGTCCAAGGCAAGGGTGGAGATTTCTTGCCAACTCTACACAGCCAATCTAAAGCAACAAATCGTTTGACAACTTTGAAAAACATCAGAAATCAGTGTAAGGAAAATATAATTCAGGAAAAAACACTAGTCCAGTACTCTTCCTGTCCAAAATTGGTGGAACCACACGACATTCTCTGCTCCGTTCAAACCAGCCAGGCCCGTCGGAAGGGTGAGTTTAAACTGGCTAGCAGCAGCTAATGATAGCTAGCCTCACATTTTTTAACGCGTTAAACTGTGAATGAGACGGTGATAAACAATACTTGCAACGTAGCCCTAAAATGTACTAATACCTACAACACTTGTCATATCACCATGTATTGCTTGCACACCACATAATAAACTAAGTTGGCTTCTATTGCTAGCTAACTAGTAACATCAAGTTAGCTAACAGTAGTACTAGTTAGCTGCCTCACGTTTTTTTGGCTGCTGAGCTAGCCATAGCATGATTTCACATCGACCAGACTACTCGAATAGGGTGTAGGTAACTAGCTACCGGTAACTTCGAATTTGTTGACATTAGTAAAACAACTAGCTAGCTGGCTACCTAGATAAAGTTGGCTGCTTTGTCTCGTAGTAAATGTTTTGTCGATTGGAATTTGTGGAGTTCAGAATGGTTAGGGAGTCTAGGGACGTTTCTCAATGATGAGTTTGCCTTGAACGTCATTCGTCAATTTACAGTCTTGCTACTGTACTGTCAGATTAACTAGGGTACATATTAGGTGTATGTTGCATCTATTGCAAAGATCAGATGGTAAACAATAGTCTGTTTTGTTGTTAAGTTATGTTTCTTTGATCCACATGGGGTTTATTTACTAATGCTGGGTGTTCCTTATGCAATTGGTACACATCATTAATATGAACGGAACACTACTAAATGCATTTGAATACGCCTACAATTGCACAAGCCTGGCTATTATTATTTTATAAATTTTAAGAATGAGACAGCATTTGGCAACAGCTTGCATTCCCATCCAGCTGCTATTACCCACGTTTAGACCTCTCAATTATTAAATTTGTTAGCTATGTGACGTTCATATACCCCAAGCCATTAACGTTGGCCTAAAAGGGCTCCATAAATGCTGGAAGGCACATTAAATGTGATGTCCTCCTTGCATATTGATTCATAATTGTCATTTCCCTGGTTCAGCTGTGTGTGTGTTTTTGTTTTGGTCAATGAAATGGGTGCTACTTTACCTTGTGAACTGAAATGAGTAGGCTATGTGTTCATACTCATTTAATTTGTTTATGGGTGTCTATTACATAATCATGAAAACAAAGGGGTTGGGTCAATTAAGTTTTCAATTCAGGAAGTTAATTGAATATTGCTAATTTTTTTCTACTATGAGGATTTATCAATTCATGAATTGCATTTAAATTTACTTCAAAAATGGTATGCTGGATACTGCAGAGAGAGACACACATAGGCCCCAGAGATAGACAATATGGATGGCCCATGTTTGTATCCATACCTGAGATGATTGATTAGCCTATCACAGACCACATTACACTTACACAGATAATACAATACAGTTGTTTTCCCCTCTAGGAGCTCCAAAACAACACCATTGCTAGGCCTGTATAAGCTACAATAGAATAGTCTTACTGCCTGAAACAATTCCCAGCAGTGCCTATAGCTGAGCGAACAGGAAATGCTGAGAAATGCAGTGCAGTGACAGCATGCAGAGGGAATTCCAGCCCTCCAGCTTTGCTGTCCTGTCCTGCTGCATTATTGCTGCCTCTGTGTGTGTAGGGTGTCAGTGTCATGCCGAAGTGTTTCATTAAATGAATCACTTACCATCACTGTCACTGCGCTCATGTGCCTCCTGCAGTTCAAAATGTCATCATCATGAGAGAGAGGCTACAACAACAAGGCTCATTCATGAACAACAATGTAGTAAACAACAATGGCAATAAAGAGCCACAGTCCCACGCCGTTAATTATACTTTATTTCAGGGCTGTGGCTGCATCTGTGCAGCAGGGTAGTGAGTGAGTCGTCCAGTGTTGTGGGACAAAGGATGTCTGCCTGCTGTGCCTGAGGGACTGGGGTCCGGCTGTGCTGTTCCTCCCAGGCCGAGAATGAGCGGAACAGTCTTGTGACGCTGGCGTCAGAGAGGGAGAGTGTTGCTCAGTGTGTCTGTGTGCAGCTGATCATCTGAGCTGGCTGGGCACAGTCAACCTTCCTCAGATAACTAGTTGGCGATCAACAATTACATCATGTTTAAGAGCCAGCAATACATAACATGTTTATTGAGGCATGCAGACAGTGACATGTTGTGTTACTGCCAGAAATGTATTTTAATTACTACATAAAATTGTCACTTAGTCAATTTTCTGGTTTTGTCAAGGAGTGGCTATGTTACACAGGCAGCTATGCAACCATAGGAGCAACATGTTACTACCATACCTGTTGGTCTTCCACAGGCAATATAGGCCTAGTAAAAAACAGAGTTTTGCTTTTTTTATTTGAGGATGGAAAATACCCCCTAAATATGTATTTGAATCAATTGACTGAGGAAGTGTGTCTGTCTTGACCGTACAGGTCTAACAACTAGCTAGTGTTATGTTATGGATGGTATGGCGCATAGTACAAAAGCTGAAGAACATATGCACATCCAGGTACTTTCCACAGGTGCTGGAGTTCTAGGCAAATTCATGAAAAACACATCCATATCCCAGGTGGGGGTGGAAGGTCCTATATATAGGGGCAATACTCAGTGACATCACTTCCTGAAACAGGAGGTAAAAAAATCTATAACATAGGTTCACAATATTAACATTCAATGTATCAAAATATATGATCATATACAAGGAATGTGATCAATATTTACAGTAATATACATACAATATTCATACAATGTTCAATTAGGATAATAAAAAAACACAATTTCGACAACTATAAACACAGTTTCAAGTCAATCTCCTCGTTAAGGGCAAGAGGAGACAGTGTGTTGAGCCAGTGGATCCAGAAAGATTCCCTTTGAAGAAGTTTCCTCTCAATGTCCCCTCCCCTGCATGACATCTTGACCATTTCTATTCCAATGCATCTCAGAGAACTAATAGGATGTCCAGCGTGTACAAAATGAACAGCAACCAGATTTTTAGTCTCACTTGTCCATATATTGCTGCGGTGCTCACAGATCCGTGTCTTAAGGCTTCTGTGGGTTTTCCCTATGTAAGACAGACCACAAGGACATTTCAACATGTAAACAACATTGGTGGACATGCAGGTAATCAGGCCTTTGATCTTAAATCTTTGTCTTGTGCGGGGGTGGGTAAATGAGTTGCATTTGTACGTGAAGCTGCATTGAGCACATTGGCCACATTTGTAATTACCCTCTGGAACCTTGTCCAAGAAAGTTTCCCTTTTCTCTGGTGGGTAATCAGATTTAATCACAATGTCTCTCACATTTGGGGGTCTTTTTAAGACTCTACGTGGGGATATTTAAACATGGGTTTCAATTGTGGGTCAGTATCAATAATGTACCAGTGCTTCCTGATAATGTCCTTTAATGCCTTCCCCAATGGTGAGTATTGGGTAAAGCACGAGTGGACATGTTCTGCTTTTTCTTTAACTTTTGGTTGAAGGCTTTCCAGCTGTGTTAGTCCTTCAAAACGATCATTGGCATGTTTTACCCAATTGTCTTTGTACCCCCTTTCCTTAAACCTCTGTGTGAGGTCCGTGGTCTGTTTCTGATAAGAAGCATCAGAGCTGCATATTCTTCTGATGCGACTGAATTGACTTATAGGGAGACTTTTAATAAGTGGACGTGGATGAAAGCTGTCACCTCTAAGGAGGGTATTCCCGTCCGTAGGTTTCCTATAGAGATCTGTAGAGAGGGAGGTTTTGTCCTTAATAACCATCACATCAAGAAAACTGATTTGTGATAGGTCATAGTTAATGGTGAAATAAAGGTGTTCATTCATAGAGTTTAGATAGGCATGCAATTCCAAAAGTTCTTCCTGGGTCCCTGTATAGATCACAAAAATGTCATCCAAATATCTCAGAATTAGGAGAATATTGGAGAGAAAATGGTTAAGGTCTGGATTCAGCACCACCTGTTTTTCAAACATTCCTAGATATAGGTTAGCATAATTAGGAGCCATAGTGCTCCCCATCGCTGTCCCTTTGGTCTGGAGGAAAAAGTATCCTCTGAAGAGAATATAGTTGGAGGTTAATACCAGTTCAGCCAGGTCCACAATACAATTGGTGCTGGGAAGAGCATTAGGGGGACGTTCATTGAGGTTGAACTTATGGGCCTCTAGGCCACCCTGATGGGGGATGTTAGTATATAGACTGGTAACATCAAAAGTACACAGAAAATAATTCTCAGGTATATGGTCCACAGATTAAAATGTTTTTATACAATCAGTAGAGTCTCTGGTAAACATGGGGAGGGAGATCACCCAGGGTTTCACAACATAGTCTACAAAGGTAGAGATATTCTGTCAGAGATCTGTTACTACTCACAATGGGCCTGCCTGGTAGAGGTGGTGTCATGCTCTTGTGAATTTTGGGGAGAGCGTATATGACAGGTGTGGTTGGGCAGTCAACTTTCATATACTCATATTCTGTCTTGTTGACAATTTATCATGGATCAAAGACTTTAATTGATTAGTAGGGTCCTTAGGGAGTCTTTTGTAAAAATTAATCATCACTAAGTTGTCTCAGAATTTCCTTTTCCTAGTCTGCTGCATTTAGTATCACTATTGTACCTCCTTTGTTTGGTATGGCGCATAGCTCATGTAATCTCTTCCTTAGTCACCTACTGTGTTGTAATGTTGGGTTTTCTTTGTGTGAGATTATCAGCTGCAGGGCTATTTTCTTTGTTTCCCCCTTCCATCTGTCTGTCTGCATACCACTGTCTATCAGCCAGGACACAGCCCACTGGCTTTCTTACAGTAGTTGCTGTTTCTATGGAAACAGGAGACTGTGATCTCTTCCTACTTCGTTCACCAGAATGGACCGAGAGCTATAACTGGCCACTCTCCAGAGCTCAGCCTGACATCACTGGCCAGTGTGCCCATCCCTCGCTCCTATTATTAGGCTCTCCTGTGGCAGCCAGGGACGCTCAGAGGGACATGATCCTACAGTAATGGGCTGGACATGGCAGGCACACTAGTTTCTTTCTCATCGTCTGCCTAAAGCAGCCCGTGGCGTGCGTCATATCCGAGGGAGAGAGCACTGTACTGAGCAAAAAAGTTGAAAGCACAGCACTGGCATTTTTGTGTCTGCACTTCCTCTCCCTCATACTCAGCATGAGAACTTGCTGTTCTGGTGGGAGAAAAAAAAAAGACATTAACCATGTTTCCATCCACAGTTTTTATGTGAGTAAAGTCATAGCTCCCTTCGGACGTCCTCTCGCAGGCTACACCGGAAGCTGTCGATGAGGGCCCGCTCATTCCACCCGGACCCAGCCGCTATATATACACTGCTCAAAAAAATAAAGGGAACACTAAAATAACACATCCTAGATCTGAATGAATGAAATAATCTTATTAAATACTTTTTTCTTTACATAGTTGAATGTGCTGACAACAAAATCACACAAAAATGATCAATGGAAATCAAATTTATCAACCCATGGAGGTCTGGATTTGGAGTCACCCTCAAAATTAAAGTGGAAAACCACACTACAGGCTGATCCAACTTTGATGTAATGTCCTTAAAACAAGTCAAAATGAGGCTCAGTAGTGTGTGTGGCCTCCACGTGCCTGTATGACCTCCCTACAACGCCTGGGCATGCTCCTGATGAGGTGGCGCATGGTCTCCTGAGGGATCTCCTCCCAGACCTGGACTAAAGCATCCGCCAACTCCTGGACAGTCTGTGGTGCAACGTGGCGTTGGTGGATGGAGCGAGACATGATGTCCCAGATGTGCTCAATTGGATTCAGGTCTGGGGAATGGGCGGGCCAGTCCATAGCATCAATGCCTTCCTCTTGCAGGAACTGCTGACACACTCCAGCCACATGAGGTCTAGCATTGTCTTGCATTAGGAGGAACCCAGGGCCAACCGCACCAGCATATGGTCTCACAAGGGGTCTGAGGATGTCATCTCGGTACCTAATGGCAGTCAGGCTACCTCTGGCGAGCACATGGAGGGCTGTGCGGCCCCCCAAAGAAATGCCACCCCACACCATGACTGACCCACCACCAAACCGGTCATGCTGGAGGATGTTGCAGGCAGCAGAACGTTCTCCACGGCGTCTCCAGACTCTGTCACGTCTGTCACATGTGCTCAGTGTGAACCTGCTTTCATCTGTGAAGAGCACAGGGCGCCAGTGGCGAATTTGCCAATCTTGGTGTTTTCTGGCAAATGCCAAACGTCCTGCACGGTGTTGGGCTGTAAGCACAACCCCCACCTGTGGACGTTGGACCCTCATACCACCCTCATGGAGTCTGTTTCTGACCGTTTGAGCAGACACATGCACATTTGTGGCCTGCTGGAGGTAATTTTGCAGGGCTCTGGCAGTGCTCCTCCTGCTCCTCCTTGCACAAAGGCGGAGGTAGCAGTCCTGCTGCTGGGTTGTTGCCCTCCTACGGCCTCCTCCACGTCTCCTGATGTACTGGCCTGTCTCCTGGTAGCGCCTCCATGCTCTGGACACTACGCTGACAGACACAGCAAACCTTCTTGCCACAGCTCGCATTGATGTGCCATCCTGGATGAGCTGCACTACCTGAGCCACTTGTGTGGGTTGTAGACTCCGTCTCATGCTACCACTAGAGTGAAAGCACCGCCAGCATTCAAAAGTGACCAAAACATCAGCCAGGAAGCATAGGAACTGAGAAGTGGTCTGTGGTCACCACCTGCAAAACCAGTCCTTTATTGGGGGTGTCTTGCTAATTGCCTATCATTTCCACCTGTTGTCTATTCCATTTGCACAACAGCATGTGACATTTTATTGTCAATCAGTGTTGCTTCCTAAGTGGACAGTTTGATTTCACAGAAGTGTGATTGACTTGAAGTTACATTGTGTTGTTTAAGTGTTCCCTTTATTTTTTTTAGCAGTGTATATACGACAGCTGTGATGGAAACAGGACATTTCGGTACAGTTTTATAAATGCAGACAGAATTTGTTCGTTCGACATGGTGGGATCTTTTTTTGTCTGTAAAATTAATTATGCGAAAAATGGTGGTGGAAACGCCTTTATGGGCAATATTGATATAATAACCATTATATCGAAGTAATCTTGGAGTCACGCGATGATATGGTGTGTGGACCTCCCACTACGACTCGGGAAAGCATGCAGTTTATTAGGCTACAGATGAAAAAACGTATGAACTTCACATGGTGACAAAAGTGCACACTGATCTTGATGCTCCTTTCCAATATGTATCGAGGGTCTGATTCTGGTGACATGATGATCGATGCTTGACTGCAGTTTGACAAATAAATATTCTTGCTCGTATCCATAATAATCTCATCATGTAGACTAGCCTACCTACACAGACTACCCGCACTGTATCTGCCAGCTGTTGGCTAGAGCACAAGTGCCAAGACCAGAGTAGGCACAGTTTTTGTGACAAAACTATTGTTAGAGTTGAAAATGCGATGGAAACACATTAAACTTTAGATTTTTATTCATGAAAACTTAAGCGAAAAAGTACATTTTGTGTGCACTACGTCATCACGCACTGATTTTTATCCTCAATAAGTCCTTTTGATGGAGACACCACTGGTGGGAAAATGCACATATTTTCTTTATGCTGATATTTGAATATTCGCATGAAGATCTGTCGCCAATTGGATGGAAACCTAGCTAGAGACAGTGTTTTTTAGTTATCATGGGTACATGGCCCGATGGTGACTGTGCAGGAAAAGGGTTGAAAGGAGGCTTATTCTGAGTGTAGGGCTGCCCCATCCCCCATGTAGGCTTTTCAGTATTACATAATCAGTATTAAAAGTCCTATTCACTCTCTCTGTCTAGGCTGTTGTCCCGGAGAATCAATTTCACCATTCAGCCCCTCAATATCATAACTTGATTGATTTTGGGGCCCATGTGGCTATGTTGGTAGAGCATGGTGCTTGTAATGCCAGGGTTGTGGGTTCGATTCCCACAGAGAAAAATAATGAAAAATGTATGCACTCACTACTGTAAATCGCTCTGAATAAAAACATCTGCTAAATAATTAAAATGTATAAAAAAATGATTATATTAATGTGCTTGCTTAATTCTACTGTACTAGTTCTCACTCTGTCCTCTCCATCCCCCCAGGTGTGTACACGTATGAGGCCGTTGTCCTGCAGATGAGCCGTCGGTGGGGGCTGTCACGTCGCTGTCGCACATCCAGATAATCCCTGGCCGCGGCGGTGGCAGCACTGGCACGTCCCCCCCTCAGCATGCCCAACACCAGTCGGGCGGGGAGCCTGAAGGACCCCGATGTTGCTGAACTCTTCTTCAAGGAGGACCCTGAGAAACTGTTCTCAGACCTGCGAGAGATCGGACATGGCAGCTTTGGTGCCGTCTACTTTGTGAGTACTTGGACCCGCCACTCTGCGCTCAGTAACAGAGCTGGATTTATATTCAGCACTGTTTAAGATATAGGGCAGGGTGTTGACTTTGTATTTTTCTTCAGGCACGAGATGTGCGGACCACTGAGGTGGTGGCCATCAAGAAGATGTCTTACAGTGGAAAACAATCCAACGAGGTAAGAGACTGATTGTGCATCAAATGCCGTTGATGTTACATCAAACAGTTATAACTAGTGTTGCACAGTATACTGGTACTACGGTAATCTCACGGTACCAAAACGTCATGATACTTATGATACCAACATTTTAGAATACCGTAGTACCGTTTCATATGATACTGCCGAAGTTTCCAGCCCTACCGATCTAAAGAACCTGCTGGCGCCTGTTGTAAAATGTTTATAATGTCAGTTTTGTTTATAAATTCAGTTGAATTTAAGCAACAGCCACTAGTTGCTTCTATGCGCAGGTCCAATAATATCTACTTCACTTTCATGCGCATATCAGGTGTGGCAGCTGTAATCAGCCAGCCGCATCCCCTACCAGCCCTCACTCACCTGCTCTCTCCGTGCGCTCTTCATGCACATCTATTCCTCTGTCAGTTAAAAAATATATAATTTAGCTGTGATTGCGAGCGGGGATGCAGACCCTGAGGAGTTTTCTGTTAAATAAAATAAAAATAAATAGGTCATTTAGCAGACACTCTTATCCAGAGCGACTTACAGGAGCAATTAGGGTTAAGTGCCTTGCTCAAGGGCACATCGACAGATTTTTCACCTAGTCGGCTCAAGGATTAGAACCAGCGACCTTTCGGTTACTGGCACAACGCTCTTAACCACTAAGCTACCTGCCGCCCTATGTTGTACATTTCTTACATTGGAGCAGCGTGCAAAGTGAGCAACGTTGATACATTATATCATTTAATCGCCTGTCATAACCAAGAGCACAGACCAGTCTGTGTAAACTTTGCAAGTTCACTGTCATGCAGCCTCTGAGTGACAGAGAGGGAAAATGGAGAACCGCTTCGCACCAGGCATGTTTGCAGCTTTATAGCAAAGAAAACGGCTTGTCTCTAGCCTAAACGGCAAACAACGTTGTTCAGTCATGTTACCTAGCTAGCTAACAACCTGGTAACTTGACATTAGGTTTAGGCAAATTTGATTGGCACAGGAAGAAAGGAAAAGGGTCTGCTACTCATGATACAGTATGTGCTTCAAAGGTAGGAGTCATACAGGCCTAATGGAAGACTAAACTATATCAACTATCTATTTCTTTCTGGTGCTCCTTACATTCTGTTTGGTGCCTAATGTTTTAAAAGTTGGGAGCAGTGTGTTTGGGAGGGAGAGAGAGAGTGGTGTGTGTGTGTTTATGAGAGTGAGAGAGACATAGTGTGTGAGGAAGGGAGGGAGAGTCTGTGTTAACTGAAGAGTAAAGAAGCTTTCATGCAGTGTTTTCCCCTTACTGACACAATGACATGCAGATCATTATGCATTTGTATTCCTTCCTCCCATTCCTCCAGCCAAATCACAGGTAGGCCTTTGCAAATATGAGCAAATCAGCCATTCTATGCAGTATTCTATTATACACTGAACAGTGTGAAGTTAAATTCAATGTGTTGTATTGAGTAGAAGTGTACATTTCAGTGACAGGTTTTTGGAGAACGTTTAGAAAACGTGAACAAGTGTCCGGGCGACAGGGCGAACAGGATGCTAGGCCACTGATGTTTTTCCACTGTGGTATCGTGATACCTGGCCTGGTATCACCTTGCCTCGTTATAAAGATTAGCCAACATCAATGAGTTGAGACAGTGCAGGGCTGTTACTGAAGCTTTGTTTGTTGTCTCAGTATTGGTTTACTGTGAAAAGACTCATTAGCATCTAATCTAACAAGGCCTATTCCTTCAAGATCCTGTCCTCAGTGAGTTTGGAGCATTAGGCCTATAGTTTCTCTAAGGTTTGGTCTTCAAAGGGATTTGTTGTGTTTCTCAGCAGTTTCTATTTAAAACATTTATCTTATTTGCTTAAAGTAGTGGAACTGCAAAACAGTGTCCTGTTCCCTGAAGCTCAGTCTAAAAACAGTTGATAATCAGATTTGAATCTGGCAAAATGACTGGATTGGTTAATTCATTAACCCAAAGAAGTAGAGTTGAAGTCAAAGGGAAGTAACTAAAGTGCCATGTAGAACACCTAATAGTTTCAGCCTGCATCTATATCCTTATTGTTTAAAGGGGCAATCTGCAGTTGCTACATCAATTTTTTGACTTATAAATTAATGATATACCTATTGATTCTTGAAGAATATAGCTTTTATAAATACTTAATGAGCTTAGTTCATCTGTCGTACCCCATCAGAACCCAAAATATAACCTTGTTTTACTCCAGTATTTGTAAACATTGTAAATGTAAACAAACTGTATAGCGTCAAAACATGCTTAAAACTATAATTGTGATATCTTGGATGGTCAGTCTATGAATTTGAGTGGTTACATTTCTCCAGGCGCATCCCTCAGCTTTTTACCAAAACAAGAGGATGGGAGACCGCTTTGTTATTGTCTCCACTGTTGATTGGCCCTTTTAGAGCTTGTTACGCAAACATGATGTAATCGTTCCACTGTTTTACCTTACAGAAATGGCAAGACATAATCAAGGAGGTGAAGTTTCTGCAGAGAATACAGCACCCAAACAGCATAGAGTATAAAGGATGCTATCTACGAGAGCATACTGCCTGGGTAAGAGTGTTATCTGAATGGAAAATATAAACAACAGGTCATAATGCTATGAAAACGTGGTGAATACTCTGGAACTGTACATTATTTAACCCAGTATAACACTCTCTCTTTCTGTCTCTGTAGCTGGTGATGGAGTACTGTCTAGGCTCTGCCTCCGATGTCCTGGAAGGTAAGATAGGAGTTTTTATGACAATGATTATAAGATGAGTTCTTCTTTGTTGTTTTCCCCATGATTTGCAGCACTCTCATCCTCTCTCGCTCTACATCCTCTGTAGTTCACAAGAAACCTCTACAAGAAATGGAAATAGCAGCGATTACCCACGGTGCTCTAGAGGGGTTGGCTTACCTTCATTCCCACAACATGATTCACCGGTGAGTAGTCCTAGTACCTGTATATGTGGACGTGTTAGACTGACTACTTTGTGCCCTCAGGGAGGGAGTGTGCCTGTGCCAGTGGAACAAAGCTGTAATGCCGTAATCTCTCTCCTCTGTCTGACAGAGATATCAAGGCAGGGAACGTCTTGCTGACAGAGCCTGGCCAGGTGAAACTTGCAGATTTCGGTTCTGCCTCCATTGTCTCTCCAGCCAACTCTTTTGTGGGGACGCCATATTGGTGAGTGGCAAAATTCCAATGTACAAGAAAAATAGATGGTGTTTGAAATATGGGGAAGAAATGGGGCACCCTCTATTGTCTCATTCAATATTTTCCATCAAATCAAAAGCGGTGTACCGGTCATTAAAATGGGGATGTTTCCTCAGGATGGCCCCAGAGGTAATCCTAGCTATGGACGAGGGTCAGTACGATGGGAAGATCGACATCTGGTCTCTGGGAATAACCTGCATTGAATTAGGTAAACTCTTTAGTCCATGTACTCCACTCTGGTTCAACTCTAGACTAGCTCTCCTGTTGTTTTAATGCTCTCATTTATTCATTCCATATCTCAAACCAATATCTGGCCAGTGAAGAAAGTATACATTTTTTTATTTTTTTTTCAAACTGGTTGAAATAATACATCTGATAGGTTTTGTCTGTCTTCCTATTACTTTTCCTCCCCACTGGCCTCCTTGTTATGTTTTGCTGTTAGTGGATCCTGGTAACCTATTGTTTTCTCTGATCTCTTTGTTTCTAGCTGAGAGAAAACCTCCACTGTTCAATATGAATGCGATGAGTGCCTTGTATCACATAGCGCAGAATGAAAGCCCCACACTGCAGTCAAGCGAATGGTACGTCATTGAGCTTCATCGGAGTTGACTTATTCTTTAGGAGAAGGCATTTGTCCACTTTTAAAGTGTGTCATGGTGAGAATGAAACAAACTATTCCCTCTTGTCCCCATCTCTCACTTCAGGACGGATTACTTCCGAAACTTTGTAGATTCTTGCCTTCAGAAATTCCCCCAAGACAGGCCCAACTCTGAGGAACTGTTAAAGGTAAGACCTCTGAAATACACTACATGACCAAAAGTATGTGGACACCTGCTCGTCAAACATCTCATTACAAAATCATGGGCATTAATATGGAGTTGGTCCCCCCTTTGCTGCTATAACAGCCTCCACTCTTCTGGGAAGGCTTTCCACTAAATGTTGGAATATTTTTGCAGGGACTTGCTTCCATTCAGCCTCAAGAGCATTAGTGAGGTCGGGCGATTAGGCCTGGCTCGCAGTCGGTGTACCAATTCATCCCAAAGGTGTTTGATGGGGTTGAGGTCAGGGCTCTGTGCAGGCCAGTCAAGTTCTTTCACACCGCTCTCGACAAACCATTTCTGTATGGACCTTGCATTGTGCACGGGGGCATTGTCATGCTGAAACAGGAAAAGGCCTTCCCCAAACTGTTACCACAAAGTTGGAAGCACAGAATCGTCAAGAATGTCATTGTATGCTGTAGTGTTAAGATTTCCCTTCACTGGAGCTAAGGGGCCTTGCCCGAACCATTATTCCTCCTCCACCAAACTTGAAAGTTGTCACTATGCATTGGGGCAGGTAGCATTCTCCTAGCATCTGCCAAACCCAGATTTGTCCGTCGGACTGCCAGAGAACGCGTTTCCACTGCTCCAGAGTCCAATGGCGGCGAGCGTTACACCACTCCAGCCGACGCTTGGCATTGCACATGGTGATCTTAGGCTTGTGTGCGGCTGTTTGGCCATGGAAACCCATTTCATGAAGCTCCAGACGAACAGTTCTTGTGCTGATGTTGCTTCCAGAGGCAGTTTAGAACTCGGTAGTGAGTGTTGCAACTGAGGACAGTTAATCTTTACAGGCTACAGCACTTGGCGGTCCCGTTATGTGAGCTTGTGTGGCCTACCACTTCGCGGCTGAGCTGTTGTTGCTTCTAGATGTTTCCACTTCACAATAACAGCACTTACATTTGACCGGGTCAGAAATTTTACGAACTGACTTGTTGAAAAGGTGGCATCCTATGACGGCGCCACATTGAAAGTCACTGAGCTCTTCAGTAAGGCCATTCTACTGCCAATGTTTGTCCATGGAGATTGCATGGGTGTGTGCTCAATTTTATACACCTGTCAGCAACGAGTGTGTCTGAATAGCCAAATCCACTAATTTGAAGGGGTGTCCACATACATTTGTATATACAGTGCATTGGGAAACTATTCAGACCACTTGATTTTTTCCACATTTTGTTACGTTACAGCCTTATTCTAAAATAGATTAAATTGTTTTTTTCCCCCTCATGAATCTACATAAAATACCCCATAATGACAAAGCAAAACAGTTTAAAGTGGTCCTATGGACAGATACTCCAATCTCCGCTGTGGAGCTTTGCAGCTCCTTCAGGGTTATCTTTGGTCTCTTTGTTGCCTCTCTGATTAATGCCGTCCTTGCCTGGTCCGTGAGTTTTGGTGGGTGGCCCTCTCTTGGCATATTCTTTCCATTTTTTAATAATGGATTTAATGGTGCTCCGTGGGATGTTCAAAGTTTCTGATATTTTTTTATAACCCAACCCTGATCTATACTTCTCCACAACTTTGTCCCTGGCCTGTTTGGAGAGCTCCTTGGTCTTCATGGTGCCGCTTGCTTGGTGGTGCCCCTTGCTTAGTGGTGTTGCAAACTCTGGGGCCTTTCAGAATAGGTGTATATATACTGAGATCATGTGACAGATCATGTGACACTTAGATTGCACACAGGTGGACTTTATTTAACTAATTATGTGACTTCTGAAGGTAATTGGTTGCACCAGATCTTATTTAGGGGATTCATAGCAAAGGGGGTGAGTACATATGCACGCACCACTTTTCCGTTAAACAAGTAATTTTTTTCATTCCACTTCACCAATTTGGACTATTTTGTGTATGTCCATTACATGAAATCCAAATAAAAATCAATTTAAATTACAGGTTGTAATGCAACAAAATAAGAAAAATGCCAAGGGGGATGAATACTTTTGCAAGGCACTGTAAATGTAATATTTCTGTTCTTTTTTTTATTTTTATTACATTTGCAAACATTTCTAAAAAACGGTTTTTGCTTCGTCATTATGGGGTATTGTTTGTAGATTGATGAGAAAAAAATAAATATTTAATCCATTTTAGAATAAGGCTGTAATGTAACAAAATGTGGAAAGAGTCAAGGGATCTGAATACTTTCCGAATGCACTGTATATAGTGTATATTATTTATGATTATCATGATCTACCAATGCCAAGACATATAGACAGAGATAGCTCTGTTGACTTGATTTTGAGTGTACCTTAAATAAACATGAATAATACCCACCCTCAACTCGAAAGAAAGTTATTGGCCCCTCTGCCTCCCTCTCTTTCTCAGCATGCGTTTGTGCAGCGGGAGCGGCCCGACTCTGTCCTGATGGACCTGATCGTGAGGACCAAGGTTGCGGTGCGGGAGCTGGATAACCTGCAGTACCGCAAGATGAAGAAGATCCTCTTCCAGGAGGCTCACAATGGCCCTGCAGCTGAGGCACAGGACGGAGACGAGGAGGTCAGTCGCCCAATCTGGCTCTTCTCTCCTGTGGAGCTTAGTTTGAAATTAGCATGGTTTATACCAGAACCATTGTAGTCTTTGAAAAAAGCCTAGGTAGGATGATGATGATGATAAATTTTTTAAATTATTATTATTATAATAATGATGATAATAATAATATTATTTAATTTGTAAACCCGTATTTCCCACACTCAATAAGGTAGAAAACAACACACAAACAAAATTCAGCAACATTACAGCAAAAAGTAGAAAAAACTATCACAATACATCAAACCATTACCTACTAATACAAAATATAGACTTTAAGCAGATTAAGCGATCAGACATTAAAAGCCAGCATTAATAGGTAGGTCTTCAGTTGTGTTTAAAACAAGGAAATTGTTTAATTGTAGTTTCTCTTAATGCACTCTGATAATATTAAGGTTAATTATTATATTAGGGTTAAGGGAGGCCTGGTGGGTCTGAAAGATTCTCTCACAATTCAGTTGTTCCTGTTTATCCTCTGCTCATAACCTGCTATAGTTGACACACTGTCATTCAGAAAGTATTTCACTCACCTGTGTCTTGCTTTTGCTACGGTGTTGTCCCCAGGAACCGGAGCACAGTGGCAGGACAGGCACAGTGAGCAGCGTTGGCAGTAACCAGTCTATCCCCAGTATGTCGATCAGCGCCAGCTCCCAGAGCAGCTCTGTCAACAGCCTGACCGACGCCGGAGATGACAAGAGTGAACTGGACATGATGGAGGGAGACCACACGGTCATGTCCAACAGCTCCGTCATTCACCTCAAACCGGTGGGTAGAGATGATCTTAGAGCTGGACTCGCAGGCAATATTCCCTCAAAAAAATTAGGCGCTGAGCAAATTTCAGGTCTGCTGTGCGCAAACTTGAACGTTGTGAAAATTCTGTGCAACTTCTGGCGCGTGTTTACTGTGAACACTGAGGCTGTGCCCGCATTAAGTTACAGTTATAACAGTGGCCAAGTAGGCTACTGTGGCTATTTATCATAATGTAGGCCTATCAGAGTGGCCTACCATAAAAAAAAACAATGGAGAAAATGCATCTTATAACATTTTAACATGGAAATAGCTGTTCTATCATTCAGCCTACAGTAGCAGCCAATGTGTGGTGCTCAATGTAGGCCTGAATTCCATGAGAGTTTTGAAAAAAACGTGTAGGGATTGACATTAACCTTTTTATCCACTACCATTATTACAGAGAATCAGACAAATTATGCATATAGGGATACCGCAGCTCTGATTGGTTATGCGGCACTGGTCTGTGTAGAGTATGGGCTGTGTCTTGCATGTTAATGCAATAGAATCCTACTCTAATGCGCTCTGCCTACAAGAAAATCTCTTGCATAGTTTGTTTTGTTTCAGTATGTTGCATTGAAAGTGGCTAATATTGCGTTGATTCTATCACATTTCACACAGTAGAGGGAAACGTTGATAGTGTTAACTAAAGGGTAAAACTAGAAAGTTGAGTGAAGTTCAATCTCATGCTTCTCTGCGCGGGCTGATATTTCTTCTGCACGACAGTCCCGGGGAACTCCGCGCCCACACGCAGCTTAGAGGGAACATTGCTAGCAGGATAACTGGACACAGCGTTGATTATAGTGAGATGATTCGGTGATGTACAAGACATAGTGATGATAGTGTTTCCTGGTGCCTTTCACAGATCATTTATAAGCAGTAATTCTCTGCTGTTGATGTGCTGCGTTGTATTTGTTTCCTCAGGAGGAGGAGACGACTTATTGCGAAGAGTCGGAACTTAACAGCAGGCCGCTCACTGAGCCCCAGTCTCCCCCTGCACACACTCCACGGCCAAAACACCACCGCAACCGCGAGCACTTTGCCACAATACGCACAGCCTCCCTGGTAAGAGCACATCGAGCCCTAGAAATACAATGATACTGTAGATAACATGATTTAAAAATGGACCCCTAAAGGCCCAGTGCAGTCAAAAATGTGAATTTCCTGTGTTTTATATACATTTCCACACTATGAAGTTGGAATAATACTGTGAACTTGTGAAAATTATTATAATGCCCTTTTAGTGTAAGAGCTGTTTGAAAAGACTGCCTGAAATTTCAGCCTTTTTTGGTGGGATGGAGTTTTGGCCTGCCTGGTTAATAGATCTGCCAATAACAGCTAGTTTTCATTTTTCCCCTCCCCACTCAGACCACTCCCAGACAGTCCTAGCAAAATTCTTGCTTGAGAAATTGCTCTTTGCTAAGAAGCTATTTATGTTTCCTTTGGAGTATTTTAATTGAAAACAATCACAGTAAGGTACTTAATTGTTAACCAGAAATGATTTGATATTGAGATAAAAACAGCTGCGTTGGGCCTTTAAGTGTCTGCTCCTGTAGGAGAGTATAAGCTGAACCTAGAGTTCTATGATAAGCCCTATGTTTCTCCCAGGTGACCCGTCAGATGAAGGAGCATGAGCAGGACAGTGAGTTGAGAGAGCAGATGTCAGGCTATAAGAGGATGAGGAGGCAGCACCAGAAGCACCTGATGGCCCTGGAGAACAAGCTGAAGGCTGAGATGGACGAACACCGGCTCCGTCTGGACAAAGAACTGGAGAACCAGAGGAACAGCTTCGCCCAGGAGATGGAGAAACTCATTAAGAAGCACCAGGCCGCCATGGAGAAAGATGTACGGTCGTTTGCTCACTTACTCCATACTTAATTCATACTTTGTCTAGATTCTACTACTGTTCCCTAGGTCGCTGTTGAATGTTCTTGTTTGAAATTAAGTTATGGGGGCATTTTCAAATGTTTATTTTGTATGTCTCTCTGCAGGCAAAGACCTTTTCCAATGATGAGAAGAAGTTCCAGCAGCACATCCAGAGCCAGCAGAAGAAAGAGCTCAACAGCTTCCTAGAGTCCCAGAAACGAGAGTACAAACTCCGCAAGGAGCAGCTGAAAGAGGTAGAGAATCACATGCGTCATACAGATGAACAGTCACATTTAAGGCTAAACACACATTATACAAAGGCTTCAATCATTGCTATATCATTTCAAGAAAAAACACGACATGCACCATTGCTCGCCTACATACTCCTCTCAGCATGTCAGACAGACTCAATGAATGACAAACCTCTGTAGAAAATGTGAACAGTGAGCTCTCATGTCGAATTGCTTAAAGCGACAATCTGCAGTTGAAACGATAACAAAGCATACTCCCACTGATCCGGTAAAAGGTTGAGGGATGGGGCTGGAGAAAATGTAACCACACTCAAGTTCATAGACAGAGTTATGGATGCAAGGACTGACCATCCATGATATCTAAATTATAGTTTTTTTTTTTTTTGTATTTTATTTCGATCTTGTCTCATCGCTGCAACTCCCCAACGGGCTCGGGAGGCGAAGGTCGAGTCATGCGTCCCCCGAAACATGACCTTCTAAACCGCGCTTCTTGACACCCGCCCGCTTAACCTGGAAGCCAGCCGCACCAGTGTGTCGGAGGAAACACGGTTCAACTGACGACGAGGTCAGCCTACAGGCGCCCGGCCCGCCACAAGGAGTCGCTAGAGCACGATGAGCCAAGTAAAGCCCCCCCGGCCAAACCCTCCCCTAACCCGGACGACGCTGGGCCAATTGTGCGCCGCCCTATGGGACTCCCGATCACGGCCGGTTGTGATACAGCCCGGGATCGAACCCGGGTCTGTAGTGACGCCTCTAGCACTGCGATGCAGTGCCTTAGACCGCTGCACTACTCGGGAGGCCCTACATTATAGTTTTAACCATGTTTTGAGGCTATACAGTGTTTGTTTACATTTACGTTGTTGGCAAACATCGGAAAAGCAAGTTTATATTTTGGCTTCTGATGGGGTACGACAGTTGAACTAAACTCATGAGGCATTTATATGTTATACTCTTCAAGAATCAATGGGTTTATATAATTCATTTACAAGTCCAAAAATTGATGTAGTAATTGCAGATTGCCCCTTTAATATCCATCCTTGTTCTTCCCCCAGGAGTTGAATGAGAACCAGTCGACCCCTAAGAAAGAGAAGCAGGAGTGGCTGTCCAAGCAGAAGGAGAACTTCCAGCACTTCCAGGCTGAGGAGGAGGCCAACCTGCTGAGGAGACAGAGACAATACCTAGAGCTGGAGTGTCGATGCTTCAAGAGGAGGATCCTCATCGCTCGCCACAACGTGGAGCAGGACCTAGTGAGAGAGGTCAGCGGTAATCACTCAGCTCTCCTCATTCATACAGTCCCTTGCTCCTCTCACTCTCCTCAAAACAGGGTCCCCTTCCCTGCTCTTGGTTTTCGTTTTGTAACCATGGCTCAGCTGTGGGTTCTGCTCATTTTCCTACTTGCATACATAGTTCAACCATACCTTTCTCATACTGCCCTTTTTTTCTTTAAAATGCTGTCTGTGTGTAGGAACTGAATAAGCGTCAGACACAGAAGGACCTGGAGCATGCCATGCTGCTGCGGCACCATGAGTCCATGCAGGAGCTGGAGTTCCGCCAGGTCAACACCATCCAGAAGATGAGGGCTGAGCTGATCCGCCTGCAGCACCAGACAGAACTCACCAACCAGCAGGAGTACAACAAGAGGAGGGAGAGAGAGCTCCGACGCAAACACGTCATGGAGGTCCGACAGCAGCCCAAGAGCCTCAAGGTGAGCACACAATGTATACTAACACACACACGATTCCCATAAATTGTTGTTTTGTGTTACCGTTAATGTCCGTTATGTAGGGACCTGACCCCTCACTATTCTGTTTGTCCTCTCTTCCTCTGTCCCATCCAAAGAGCTCCAGACCTGACCCCTCACTGTTCTGTTTGTCCTCTCTCCTCCCTCTGTCCCATCCAAAGAGCTCCAGACCTGACCCCTCACTGTTCTGTTTGTCCTCTCTCCTCCCTCCTCTGTCCCAGTCCAAAGAGCTCCAGACCTGACCCCTCACTGTTCTGTTTGTCCTCTCTCCTCCCTCCTCTGTCCCAGTCCAAAGAGCTCCAGACCTGACCCCTCACTGTTCTGTTTGTCCTCTCTCCTCCCTCCTCTGTCCCAGTCCAAAGAGCTCCAGACCTGACCCCTCACTGTTCTGTTTGTCCTCTCTCCTCCCTCCTCTGTCCCATCCAAAGAGCTCCAGACCTGACCCCTCACTGTTCTGTTTGTCCTCTCTCCTCCCTCCTCTGTCCCAGTCCAAAGAGCTCCAGATTAAGAAACAGTTCCAAGACACATGTAAGATCCAGACCAGACAGTACAAGGCCCTGAGAAACCACCTACTGGAGAGCACACCAAAGTCTGACCACAAGGCTGTCCTGAAGCGTCTGAAGGAGGAGCAGACCCGTAAGCTGGCCATCCTTGCTGAGCAGTACGACCACTCTATCAACGAGATGCTCTCCACACAGGCTGTGAGTCACACAGGGACCTTGAAAACACTGCAGGGGAGGGAGGCAGGAGAGGGGATGAGTTCCTAAAAAGCTGACTACTGATGATGGGCCTTTTGACAAAGAGGCCCTTTATCTACATCCTCAGAGTCATATGAACTGGTGGATAACATTTTTATGTCTGCGTGCAGTTTGAATGAGGTTGCTAACTAGCATGCTAGCAGATACAGTCATTCCAGTCATTGCGCTAATGCTAGTTAGCATTGGCTCGCAAAACTACCTCGAACTTCCTTCATACTGGACACAGAAACATAAAAATGGTATCCACTAGTTCAGCTGACTCTGGGGAAGTATCCCTTTAACATTGTGCTGACCTCCTATCTGGCTCTCCTCTCTAGCTGCGTCTGGATGAGGCTCAGGAGGCTCAGTGCCAGGTGCTAAGGATGCAGCTGCAGCAGGAGCTGGAGCTACTCAACGCCTACCAGAGCAAGATCAAGATGCAGACGGATGCCCAGCACGACCGCGAGAGGAAGGACCTGGAGCAGAGAGTGTCGCTCCGGAGGGCCCTACTGGAGCAGAAGGTCTGATCTTCCATACTGGGAACATTGTTAACATGGGTTTCGTCTCAAATGGCACCCTGTATATTGCACTGTGGTCAAAGGTAGTGCACTTTTAAGTGGATAGGGTGCCATTTGGGACACAATCATGGTGTATTAGTGGCAAAAAGCCTCAATTGACATTTAGGCTTTATTTAATTTCAAGCTCCGGAGTTTGCTGTTATCATTGCTAAACCAGTGCTATTTTGACATGGACATATTATGATACTTAGTAGCTGTGTATATGTGTGTATCTTCAGATTGAGGAGGAGATGCTGGCCCTTCAGAACGAGCGTTTGGAGAGGATCCGTAGCCTGCTGGAGCGCCAGGCCAGGGAGATCGAAGCGTTCGACTCAGAGAGCATGCGTCTAGGCTTCAACAACATGGTGCTGTCAAACCTCTCCCCAGAGGCCTTTAGCCACAGCTTCCCAGGTGCCTCAGGCAGCTGGGCCCACCCCCAGACACAGCACCACTCTGGGGGCTCTCAAGGGCCACACTGGGGAAGTGGAGCGTCAGGGCACCAAAGCAGCCATCACCAACACCACTACCACTCTGGTCAGGGAGGGTCCCCCATGCAGCAAGCCTGGGGCCAAGGCATGCAGGGAAGTGGGGGTCCTCAGCCATGGGGTCACCCCTCGGCAGGGCCCCTGGGGGCCAGAAGCAGTGGAGGAGTGCAGAACAGCCCCCAGGCACTGAGCAGGACAGCCTCAGGGGGGCGCAGTGAGCAGGCTATGAGCAGGAGTACCAGCGTCAACTCTCAGCTATCCAACGGGTCGCACCTGTCCTACACATAGACTCCCAGCCCCAGAGTCAGAGTAGGGGGCTGCCGAGTCCACAGAGCAGAGTGGGACAGTATGGGCTGAGCTCTACTACACCTCCACCTCTCTTTCACACGTTTCTCATCCCCTCTCTGCTATCCCTCGTTCCTCTCCTGTCCTGTGTACAGATGTGAATGCGTGTGGAAATAAATGTTGCTCAGGTCAAAAGGGCTGAAAGAGGCACACCCCCTCTACACAGCAGTTTATTAGCACACATACAGATCAGTTCTTCTGTTTCTATAGAAACCATTCAGCGTCAACACTTAATACTTCCTTCTGTCTTTATTTTACAGTTCTCTCTTAGAAATCATGTTCATTTACATATATGTGTTATTCACAGCCACTGCTCTCCTTTTGCACCACTGAGACCACTGTCAAAAGCCTTTTGACATCTGCTAACTGCTTTTAATTAAAAAGTTGCTTAGTGTCTACCAATCACAGCAAGCTAAAACAGCCCAGGAAATCCCCCTGCTCTAAATTTGATAATACATTGGCCAATTTATCCAGTAACTTTTTTTTTTACTCTCCTTTTGCCAGCCTGCTTTTATGGTCATTTTAAATCGCTGAGATTTTATCTCTTTCCAAATCGGAAGAATGTTTTGCGTTCTAAAATGTTTTAACAGGGAGAGATTTAAAGAACTGCTCAGATACCGTATAGAGCTGCTTGACAATACCTGAAACAAATTTAAAGTTGGTTTGAAATGATCATTTAGGTTTGAGATTGTGAGGGACACTGGGACACAATGTTGTTGGCTTGTATTTTGGCCAGCTTCCATAAAACTAGCTTTTGTTGTTAAAGCCAAACCTACTTTAAGCCAGGCAGTTGTTAGTACACATATCACAAACTTAGTTACTATCAACCCCTGTTGCAAGAATGTGATGACATTTTGTGAATATTATTATTTAGTTTTCACATACAAGAATCTGAGGGTTTTGTAGAATTAGATAAATTATGTTTTAGCTGTTCTTATTTGTCTGTTTTTTTATTAAAAAAGAAAGATAATTGTTTTTTGAAATTGTAGCTGGTAAGAGCAAAATAAGTTAGTTTTTTTAGCAGATGTCATATTGTAGGATTTTTGTTGTGAATTTCACAGTTACACTTGCAGTTTGAAAGATCGAAATGTTTACATTTAATATATTGGAGAAGCAGTAACAGTCTGAACCTTTTTATATCAATGAGCATTTTGCCAGCATTTAGTGATCTGCATTTTATTTTACGCCTCCCTGTGGGAGTTTAAGCTGCTAATTTATCCATTTGCCAATAAGAAAACTAAAGCAGAATATGAATGTTTTTAGATGCTATTCTTTTTATTTGTCTGTTTCGGATGCAAAGCTAGGGGTCCAGGCTAACCATAGCTTCAGCTTTGGCCATATTCAGCTCAGTTCTGTACTACTGTACTGTGTGGAACTGGCCACTAGGCTGCAGTCTTCACTTATTGTCAACCGTTCCTTAGGCCACTGTTGGTTAGGGTTTCCAAGTGGGTGGGTGTCTCTCATAACATTACTACATCAGCCAAAACCAGAGGGACATGGCAGAGCCTGAGCCAAAATAAACTTTAAGCTTTGCTAACTACTAAAAGTGTATATATGTATGTTAATACTCAGTAAAATGGTGCCTTTCTATGCCCTGATACTGATCATTCATTCTCAGTGTAAAACTGGCATATTTGTGAATGTTTTAGTTCAGCTCAGATTGATTAAATTAAATAGTTTACAAAGTTTGTAATACATTTCAAACTAGTTTCCATTGAGTTTGCACATTGGCATCGTTCAATGAAAATTATGTACCTCAGGAAGAGACGATCCCAACATCTGTCCTCATGTACCTCTGAAAATTATGTCCATATCAGGAGTTTTGTTAAGCGATCAATTGAACAGAAGTTTTAAAGGTGATAATAGCATGCATACAGGTACTTGAGGGCTGGTTCTGGGTATCTCTGCTGTGCGGAGGATCACATGTTGTGAGTTTCATCTTAGTTGGCTGAATGATCGAGGAGGAGGATCAGTATAATTCATGCTGGGCTACATGATTGTCCGATACAAGAGCAAAGACTGTAATGCCTTTAATAAGAACCCTGACGTTTATCAGTTGATTTTATTTTAGTGCCTTTAAATACTGCTGCCTTGTCAAAGCACTTTATACAGTAGAGAAAATGTATACAGTAAAACAGATGGTAGTTTGACTTTATTTTAGGCACAGCAACCCGAGGGATGAATATAGTGTGTCTGTATTATGTGGTTGAGGTGAGGAAGTTGAAAGGTCTAGCTAATAATTGACCTTAAAGTCAGATATGGAGTCAGGATTTGAATACCTGGGGTTAATTACAAGTGAGTTACCAGAGTCATACCAGTATGTAGACAATGTTTCTATGGCTCTGTGGAGGATTCATGTTGGGCAAGAACGAAGCAGATTATAGAGTATGGTGACACGGCTGGTTAAAAAACACCTTTCACGCAAAATGTTCCAGGCCAGGTTTAACATGAATGAAGTGGGAACAGTAGAGCAGAGCTTCCATAAGTAGAAAAAATAAATACGGTTTCAGAATGTGTTTGAAAGGGAAAGATTTAATTTCTATGTGATGGCTGTTTTTGACCATGACAGCAGGCTTGGCAAGGAGTACATGTTTATGTGGGAGCTGGTTAATGTGATGCAGTCAAAGTGTTTAAAATGATAATGGTCCACAACTTGAGCAACACTAAAACCTCCGCAATCAGGAAAAAAGAGACCATCTCACCACTCTAAAAGTAACAATGGCAGGTGAATGAAGCGCAAATACTTGTTAGTTACTGGTGTTCAGCATGTAAATATAACACTCGCACTAAATGAACATTCTACACTTATGTTGGTGAGTGGTTAAAAAGTGTTTAAAGCTGGAATCCTTAATGGTGAAACTGCCACGTCCGTTTGGGATATTACAACAACAGAAGTTACTGCAAACAACAAACACTGTTTTTTCCCCCATCGGACATCATTGCACGCGCTAAACTTTTTACCACACTGCTTGACGCACCTCTCCTCAGTTTCGTCCACAAAACAATAACCAAGGTGCTGGGGCGGACAGTGGCGCTGTTTCCCCTAATGCGGATTTCATCTTTAAAGGTGGCAAAGCACTTATGTAGTTATTTACTCGGACACCCACAGTGGGTTCTATCCATGAGCACGTTTTCTCACCCATTAAACTGTTTCTTTCATGGGTGAGTTTATGCCATTGTGGTTCCCCTCTTTATTTTCTCAACCTGCATTCCCTCACTCACCAAGTCTGCATTTACTGTGAGGGTAACTATCTCCGTATGGAAATCTAAAACACTTTAAAACATATAATTTATATTGAAAAGGCCACAAGGCTTGAAAAGACCTAAAGATGCAGATATCTTAGGAAATATATCCTCTTTTCATTAAAGTGGGGAGAAATGTTCATATTGTGTATATCTACAATTTAAGAGATTAACCGTTTTAAAACTAAACTTGCATTGTGACAAAAAAAAAAAAAAAGAATCTCTAAGACTAACATTATTTAACTTGACAGACCATTATTTAACTTGATAACCAAATATTAAACAACTTTGAGATTGGTATGGAGGTCTGTAAAAGTAACTGATGAAACGTGAGCTTGGTTGTGTGTACACTGACTCTCTTACTGCTTCCTGTGCATGCATAGCCTACACTGTCATTTTCCTTTACTGTCACACACTTTGTTAGTCATTGCCCCCCTCATGACGCCTGTCATTGCAGTGAGTCTGTACCTCTTATGTTTCCTTCTATTCCACTCTCTCTACATTCACATCCACCAGATTAGTACCTATTCTGATGTTTGTTCTTGTTGAATGTGATGCTACAATTGTGCAGCAAAAACTTGTTTGATTTCAGGGGCACAAAGAGATGCAGGAGAAGTTTGTTTTAAATGGTTGCAGTCTCTAATCCCCCAAAACAATTCTCCCATATCTTCCTCTGAATCATATCCAACTGTCCTTTCCAAAAAGCAAGCATGGGTTTCATTATGTTACAGTACATAGGGCTGCGAGTGTGTCCCAATACTCTCCAAAACCTTCCACCTCTTGTTTCCTTTCATTTGTAACCACAGAGAGTTGAAACGCCTCAATAGGTTCATTTACCACTTTAATGCTTACACCCACCAAGTCTTCTATGATCAGTGGTCAGGAACAAAAGGTGTTTCTGATTATTGGGACCTAGCCCTTGTTCAGGTCAACAGCTTCTTAGGTCAATGGTTCATTCACATGTCAGGCCAATGAAAGGTCCTTGGGACGTCCCTACCCCATTGAAGTTGACATTTTTTATGGTTAAGGTTAGGTTTCAGGGTAGGGACGTCCCAAGGATACCGGACAGCACTAACCGCCAATGAAACCATCTCATCGATTGCCAACCAGTCACACCTTTTTGTTAATGTTTTTTTAAATATTTGTTTTTGTGAGGGAGACCTACTTAGATATTTTTATTCATATTTGTTTTAATTATGTACAAGGCTTCTCCACCAACCTGGATAATGTTTTTAATTATAATTTAACATTGATGTTGTCAACTTTTGTTCTACTGACTGAAAGTATGGGATACTGAGTAAGAAACAGGCTAAAGAAAAATGGAGGTCCTCCCTCTGGTCAAACACTGTGCCATCCCAGAGCTGCGAAGCCCAGACACCACTGCATTGTTTCATCTCCAGAGTTACGCTTGGCTTGGGCTGATGGCATGAAACGTTTAGAAATAGCATGATGTGAGCCATTTGGTTCTGGTCAGATTGCCAATGTAGAGGCTTGAAAAGATTGAGTGGTGACAGGCTACTTATGAAAACAGAGGGTCCATTTCTATGAGGATGTCAGTATTCTTCCTTGGCACAGCATTACCACTACAACTCATATATAACCTGTATTAAAATGTATAGATTGTGAAACCTGTTATTGAATGTCTGAAAGAGTATGAAGATTATACATACATTTTCACCAACAAAAAAGTGAATGGAAAT